CAAAATTGTTTATATTTAAACATTGAGAGTTTCTATTTAACTCTAACCACATAAAATCCCATTAGAACACATTAAAGTTTGTGGTGAAACATTAGATTCAGCTTCAGTAGTCAAGCTTGTGATACAAAAGCAAGGAATTTGACTTCGGTTCACACAATCACAGGGTACAAACATTAAATATAAAAATACATATTTCAGTGGAGATCAAACAGAGTGCATCTCTTTGTGAATATACACCCACTGCATTTGTTTTCAATGTGCTTTGGATGTGTTAAATATACAGAACAGTTCCCTCACCAGCCAAAAATCCAACAAATGGAAGACTAAATATAAAAAGGTTGAAGAGTAAATGAGTTTTATACTAACGGGCCCTGTAGGAAGTGCGGCAGTGCAACAATGAAGGATCCGGTGGCCATGACCAAGCAGCCGATACCAATCAGCTTGGGACGATGGAGCTTTGCACCAAAGTAGCTCACAAAGGCAATTACCAGCAAGTTTCCTGTGAAGAAAAATAAATGCAGAAAACTATTAATTAAAGGAGTAGCTCCAGTATTTTAGAATCCAGAACATCTTAACTTCACGAACCCATTTCAAAGCTGCCATCTATGACCCCAATCAGAGAGCTGGGGATGTCAAAGCGTCTCTCAATCTGGGTGATGGAGCTCTTCATGTAAGCACCGCCAAAAGCTTTGGCAAAGTACATAAAGGCCAGGGAGACCAGGAACAGCTGCGGGAGCACACACATTGAGAATTAGGCTTCTACAGGCCGGGCTTGTTGATTTGACCCAATGATGTCATGTCAAAGATCTCACAGTGATTCCTGTTAGAGTAAAAATTTCTCTTTTCTCAATGTTTAAAGGGTCTTGTAAAAGTAGGAGAAAAATGATCACACATATGGCCTAGATAAGATTAAAACGAAATATTTAGCATACATTGAAATATCTAGGGCTTTAACTCAACTTTAAGAAACACCTCAGTTTATATTTGATTAGTTCAGGGTCTTTTTCAAGATTGTTTGGAACATCATTCGCTCCAAAACCAGATATATTATGTGGAAAATATTATTTTTAGAGTGTAAAAAATAGATACATTACTGTTTTCATAAAGCACTGGAGAGGTCCAACTTTCTACGGAGGGGGTTATATGTGCAAATACTTGTCAAATATTGTAGCTGCTCAGTTATAAAATAAATTGTAAATGTCTGCATGTCCATATAGAAGTCCAAAGGACATGATAAACTTTGTACCAATATAAAAAAAGGTACATTTCTTAAGATTTTGGATTAGTTCTGGAGTGTATTGACTTTGGAAATGTTCTCATCACAAGGTAACTTTAAATCTCCATCTTTAATCAACATGAGCAGGAATATCATTCAGGTGTTGCAAAAGTCATAATTGATCTTTGTCAATTAAAACAAAAAATTACTTCTGGCACATGATCTAAATCAGACATGCAGCTCATTCGATAGAAATAAATCTAACGTTAGCTAAACGAATAAGTACTAAGAGACCGAAATTCTTCCCTGTGAATTCATTTTATAATTTCAACCGTATATTTTTTCGATGCACATATTTTTAAAACCCGTACCTCTTCGAAAACCTGCTCTATCAAATCGCATGCTTGTCTTGCGCCATCTGGTGGAGGATTAAAGTACTATCAGTGAAGAGTTCTGCTGTTTTGAAGCACTTTAACAAAAATATTTTTGGAATGGTGACAGCATGGAAAATATATTAAAATATATATAAAAATTTAAATTTTGATGAACATCTAGATTTTATGGTTCAACTCAGGTTGTTTTTTTATAGGTTTCTGCATATAATTTGTATTTTAAGTATTAAAATAAAACTGCAATATGTTTCACTTTATTTATGTTTCAAAAATATTCTAAGAAACATATTTTCATTGATGATAATTTATGTCCATTGAAAATATTTAATTTATTGTACAACCATTAAATATAATAGTGTAACAGAATTGATCTTTAGCATATTTGGCTAATTACTTTTAATGTATACATTTAATTTTCCCTTGGAAATTAATGCTTCCTACTGTTTTGTTTATATTAGGTCATTGTTATTTATTATGTAATATGTAGGTAGGTAGTACATACTATGACAAACAGAGCAACTTGTGTTATGTCAGCGTCAGTCATAATCATCAACCAATGATCAACATCAACCTTACAGATCTACTTTTGAAAAAGTATCATTTATATGAATTACAGTTGCTCCACTTATTCTAAGTCAACAAACAGTTGAAAAGGTCTTACATCAGATCAAAATGAATTCATTTGGAAACTGTTTGCATATGAACTGTTTTTTTTTTCCTCCAAAATGCAAGTCCAATATTTTGTCATAAAAGCAATTTCACTAACCTTGAGCTTGGAGCAACATGCCTCTCGTGGTTTTTTGGATTCTACGCTCATGATGCTTCTATGGGCTCAACGTTTGCAAAATACAAAAAGAAGAAAACACAACACCAAAATCCCTGCAAATAAACAGCATACTTTGGAATACAAGATCTTGGAACAAATTCTATTGAGCTTCTTCTAAAAACAACTTTAAATATATTTCTGACTCCACAATCTTGTCCACTAAGCACACAATGACAATTCATTACAATATTATACATGGACAGGCTTTTGAAAAAAATATAGATTCTCTTGAAGCTGACTGGTGGCATTCATATAAACCTGCAAAATTTCAAATAACATCCAAAACAGAAGACACAAGAATTTACAAAGTGTTTTTAATAAAAGACATTTTTACCAGTACACATACAATAGTAATTATGTGAAAGCATACTAATGAAGAAAACATACAGTAAAAGTATTTACCTGTGAAGCACTGATGGACCAGTATGAAGGATTCAAACTGATTGATAGCCGTAACTAGCAGGACTTTGCGCCTGAGGCCCGAGTCTTATCATCAAATTACATCACGTGTAACCAGTAACTCAGGCAATCATGTTGATCTTGCTGATTACGTCAATAAGAGGTCATCCAGCCCTCACGCGAACTGACAAGAGCCCCAGACACAAACACAGTTTGTTCAAGACGAAGCAACAGGCGAAGAGGTTCAGAGGTCCCTCCGGCGTTCACGGTCGCGCACATCCTCCTCTAAGAAACTTCACAGCCATCCTCTTTCGGAAACACAACAAACAGCGAGCAGCGTGAAGCTGGCCAAAGTTTATTGTGGTACGAGCGAGCTGTTTCTGTTAGTCTGGCCCGTTTCAAAGAGTGAAACCCTTTCCTCTCCAGGAGAATTTCAGGTCTCGCAAAAGTCCGGGTGTTTCCATCCGAGGCCCGATCAAAGTCTTCCTGTACCATTGATGGCCGCGAACAATGGCTTTCTCTCGAATTCCCCAGCACGGCACATCCCATCACCTTATCACTTTTGTTTCACAGTGGCTATTCACTGGAGGCTCGTACGGTCGCAGCTCACAATAAATGGCGTGTCCGTCTCTTGAACAGGTTTTAATGTAAGGATTTCCTAAACAAAATCAACGGGTCTTCTGGGAATTGGCTGTTGTTTACAACATTCTCTTCCACTGCTGTTACGCAGTTTAGATGAAGAAACTAATTATGAAATAAATAAATAAAAAATAGGCAGAGCTTGCGATGGACTGGCGACTTGTCCAGGGTGTACTTCGTCTCTTGCCCGTTGACCGCTGGAGAAAGGTACCAGCACCCCTGGTGGCCCAACTAGGCATAAGCGTATAAGATGATGGATGGATGGATGGATGGATGGATGGATGGATGGATGGATGGATGGATGGATGGATGGATGGATGGATGGATCGACAGAGCACATTTTTTGTCTTTTCACTGTTTGAAACTTGTAAATTGCAAATCTGCATTACTCAAGAACCCTTGTCAAGAACTAATGGCCAGACATTTTTATCCAAGGTTTTTAACCAGAATTTGGCCATGTTGTTTTGGATCATGATCATCCGCCGGTTTCAGTGTCGGGTAGAGGCCAGCAGATTTGATTTAAAATCTTGCGGTATGCACATAGAAATTCGTGATGGCTTGCAGTCTGAAAACATTCCAAGGTCTTTGGGAGACAAACTTCCATCGTCATCAATCCCCTAACTCTAGTAGAAATTTAGACTTTGGGTGAACATCTTGTTTTGTTCGTCACATTTTCGGTAGTTTTACCTTTTCAGTCAATGCTCTGACTTCAGTTATGAGCACATTTATGTGAGTAGCCATAATTTTGTTGTCATTTCTTGGAGTTTCACAATCTGTTCACGTCTTCCTTGCTTCAATGTTTTTTTAACTACCCCATTTTTTTTAATGGCTAGAAAAAAATTGGCTTCATACCTCATTTAAACCTTTATTATTATTATTATTATTATTATTATTATTATTATTATTATTTTATTTTATTTATTTTATTTTTTTTTTTTACAAATTCCAAGAAACTTTAATTTAGTTGGAAAAAAACAGCAAGTCTGGAGGACGCTGCCAGGCGATAGAGTGAACCCCACGCTGCAGCTGCAACATTAGTTCCCTTTTGCTAAAATGAGTCATTTGTACTGCCTCTCGAGTGGCGACATTAATATGCTTTATCTCTTGCTCATAAAAAATAATGATGACTAATGATTATTGTGTGTTTAGGGCAATTAATTAAGCTGTGTACACAGAATGTACTTCTAGTGCGCTTGCACGTTATTGACTTGTGTAATATGTTACACAACTTCCAAATAGCATGAGTTCAGAAACATAGCAACTCTGGTAGAAGTGCAGAAGGACATTTCTGTCGGTGAGTTGCAGAATACATCACAGGGAAAACAGCAACCCTACGGGGAAGTTAATAGTTTTGCATTCTTTTGCTGAAATAAGACTTTTCGTCACAGCCACTAGAGGGTGCCGTCTCACTCTTAAATGATGTTTTATGTGGAACTACCTCTTCCTTAACTCAAATAGATCGACTTCTCAAGCACGTTTTTATCCAAATATTCACGTCACTTGTTTAAGATGAATACAAACAGTAAGTTGTGTCCACTTGAAATCTTTTATTAAACAGAGTGCTTTGCTTTGCAGTGCAGGCAGACATGCTAAATAAAACGCACACGCTTTCATGATTAGTAGATTAAAAAAATTGAATACATTAATTTCAGTAAAAACAGAAACATTTTCCTAAAATCATCCGTTAAATTTGAGAGTCACATTAGAAATGTGTAAAGACGTGGATTGCCGTCGCTCTTCAGTGGGAACCACAAGCTTTGCACGCGCAGCCGGTCACGTGCTTGTAGTTATATTTTCTGCTAGTGAGGTCCAAGCATTTCACATCCAGAACTCGGAGGTCTGAGCTCTCCTCCTGGCAGCACCGGAAGTCCTGTTTGACCTGCAGGTACGCATGTGCTAACACCCTGTTGGAGAGGAAAGGAGAGGGAAGGAAATGGAGGGAAATGTTGGCGCGCCGGATGTTTTTGCGCAGTCCAAAGTTTGGTTTCTACTCACCAGGGTTCCGACAGACATCGGCCCTCACACACGGGTAATTCAATGACGGCGGAGCAGTCATCAATGGTGACGTTCATTTTGGACAGTTTGGGCTCGCAGGTCTGGTTGCCTGGAATTAGAAAAGATAACAAAGTTAAGCTTTAAAATTGTAATATAAGGAGTCTATATCTAATGGGTCATTTTTATATATTTTTTATTTTTATTTTTACTTGACTCACAGGTGGAGCAGCAGTCTCGGTTGTTCCAAGTCGCGTTACCCTGTAAACCAAATCACAACAATTTATCATTAGTTTTTCAGATTCCTTTAAGCAAAAAGGTGTGGTTTTTTTATTTAGAAAGTAATTTTAAGAGTGTTTTTTTCTTCTTTTTTTTTTACTTTTCCACTAATTGGTTGAAAACTCGTGCAGTGGACAATTTGAGTGTTAGGATGAGTGTTCATCTGAGAATCAGTGGCAAAACTTGAGAGAGCTAAAGTGGTCCTGTAAAGATGTAGCAATTTCTGTCTCTAGATGTGAAAAACATACTAAAAAAATGACAGTATTGACTCAGGAGGCCAGAATATAAATGCATACACATTTCTCTAACTGCTGTGCATCCTTTACAATAACCTCACATTATACGCTAGGTTGTGTCAAAATTATTGACAATTTGAATTGTACAGAGGCAATGTTAAGTACCTCAGGAGAAGTATCTGAAGGATAGACTCTTGGTTCACTCTGAATGCCATAAGCAGTGCAGATGAAGGACATGCAGTGGTCATCCGGGTCTGTCCATGTCTCTCCCACCTACAGGTACAAAAATATGTGTACAAATGACAATCTAGACAATATACGAACCAATTTTGATGATTAAGTTAGATAAAACATTATACTTTGTATGTGGTTCCACTGTAGACGCAGGTTTTCTCAACTGTATAAAAAAAAAAAAAAAAAAAAAAAAAAACGGGGGTTTTAAAAAAGATGTGGAAGAAACATAAGACCTTGAAGGATTTTGATGCCACTGTAGTAAAGTTTTATACAAGGTATATTAAAGCTTAAGATTTTGATCGGTTTATATTGTCATTGCATTCCATCCACAGCCAGTTTTTTTTCCTTGTAGTTTTAGGGTTTCTGTCAAAGCAAACACTTGTGCATGTGAAGTAGGAGGCCGCCAGGGCTGCAGCCCCCTCTTGTGGTGGCTTAGGAATATAAAAACTTAAAATCAACAAATTTGTACAAATAGCAGGATTACTATTAGCTGTACTATTGATAAATGCAGGAAAAAATACATAATTTCTTAATGTTAATGGCTACACACGAAGTAACAGGAGCACCGCAGCACAGTTTGCCTCTACAAGAACTTAGAAAAGTAGAAGCTTAGAGGTTCAATGAGCAATTTTCTCAAAAAGTCAGGCAGTTTAACTTCATCTTAATTCCTGTCTTGTGACAAAACAGTTTTGACAAGGATCTGCAAGAAATCCTTCTTCCAATGTCGGTTAATTGCCAGTTCTTACCACAAATTGGATCACCACAACAAGTGGTGTTCACCAAGCTGGCATTTGGGGAACAGACAGGCACTGGCAAAAGAGATTTTGGAGAACAATCCTCACTCATAGTCTGATTGTTACATGTGCACAGGTGGCAATTAGACTCCCACACCTCTCCAGGCTGAAAAACAGACACATATGTTCTCAACTTAGATGATAGTTTCAGATAATTAGATCTTTCGAACCAAAACTTTTGCTTCAAATAAACAATGAAGTTAAAAGTTCTATCATTAAAGAAAATATCCTTACGAATTTCGGCATTCCAAGTGGTCCTTTGCAATCTATGTTTAAAGAAGAAAGATGGTCATTCCTGGCACAGGACCTGAAGTTAAATCTATTAAAAGTTCTTGTTACCCATTCTAGACAATAGTACTCACAATTGCATTGTTTCACACAAATATTTGAGTGGTTTCCTGCCCTGACAAGTCCTGGAGGGCAGAAACAACCAGAGGTGGTCTTTTCAAGAGTGGGCCCAGAATGAACAATTCTAAAAAAAAAAAAAAAAAACAGAAAACATGTTTTTTTTTTGTTGTTTTTACAGACATATAAAAAATAGCATGGACAAAGAGAGCTTAACATGTCAATGTTTTTCTCAGTATTCCTAGCCAGGCATTGACGGAGGCATCAAAGTCGTATATCTGTAACAGCCCAAGTTATCCATATCAACAAAGTCATCTAAACACATTAGTGGATAAATTCTGCTTAACAAAGTGTAGATTTCTCAAGACCTTTGCAACTTCATTTTTGACAAATAGCCTGACAATGGTAGTGCTCCTGAATGTTCTGATGAGTACCGTTGGGATGCAGAAGACTCCACTGGGGAAGAAAATGTATGCTGACGCTAGTTTTGGTCAATAAAATACTGGAAAAATATAGTCTGAAACCGACTATATTATATCCATAATATGGATTGATTGTCCAGATTATGCGTCGAGATAATCAATATGGTTGTACACACCATGCTTAGAAGAAAACAACTGGATAACAGAATTTTGGAGGTAGAAAAATCTTCTATTTCACTTAAACCTAACTATTGGTTAGGTTACTACTTTCTTTGTATTCCATTCCATCTTGATCACTTGTCTTGTCACTCACAACTGGTGTAAATTCCCTGTTAAGAAGTTGATTTGTATAGATATGAAATCAGCTTCTGATGTGTTCAGTTTGATGTGTTGATGTGTCCAATAAAAATTTTTCACGCTGTATTTTCTTTAAAACAAAGTTGTCAAACCCTCCAAAGCAGAAGTCATCTTTTTTGTTCCGGCATTCTTCATAGATCAAATCACCGGAACATTTCACATCTGAAACACAACAACGGGCGTTAGTGTTGAATAAAAATGACAGCGCAGAAAATGTAAAAACATTTTTTTAGCTTTTTGACAACTTTACTAAGCATCAATCAGGGAGATAAAAAGGGCTCACCACAACTTCCATTAGTCAGTTCTCTCCAGTGAATACAGAAACCAGCTTGTTTACACTCCCCAGCGGTGTGTTCCAAAGAAGAGCAAGAATTATTTAGGGTGGAGCACGAATCAAACTCACAGTTCTTCTTTCTGGTACGTATGTCCACATATTTGCTGCAGTTAGCAAACACTCTACAGAGAAACAGATGTTTGGATATTTAGTTGCAGTTAACAGATCAATGTGTCGTGGACATTTCCCACCGCTCACACTTTTCCAACAGAACAATTTTTGCGTGTCGTGTGTGGCCACTTACGGATGTTCAAGCAGGTGACATTGCGAGTTTGGAGAACAGGTAGGTGGGGGCCCAGTGGGTTCTCCAGGGGGTTCAAGATCACACGGTACATCTGCTGGTGCTGAAAAACACTCGGGCTTCAAAGGGTCACGGTACACCCAGTCGTAGGCCGTCTTTTCGCAGCAAGTGTCGTTCTCGATCCGTCCTCCTCTACGGATGCACGAGGCACCACCACACACACCTGTAGAGAGGATGAAAGTTGAGGTCAGTGAATAATTTACAGGGCATGCCACTTTTGATATTAACAATTCTTAGCCTGTAAAGAGTGAGAATAAAATAATATTGAAAAACAACTTTTATTTGCGTCTGGACAATCAGGCTCAAAAAGTATTTGGCTCCACTGACATCTTCTGTTTTTGTTTCGTGAACTTCTGGACAAGTCGTTGATTTGCTGTTGGAGTAATTTTGGTAGGGCAGCCACTGTTCCATGTTTTCCCCATTTGTGGAAACGGCTTTTATTGCGGTTCTCTGTTGTCCCAGAAGTGGCTTTGTAACTCTTTCTTGACGAATGAATTTCATTGACGTTTTTTTGTGTGTTCTTGAATTTGTTTAGAATGGTTGTGTGTTGCTTTTTGAGATCTTTCACCCTACTTCATCCTGTCAGAGTCTGCAGCTGCTTTTCCATTGACCATACAATTGCACAAATTGGAGTTATGAAAATGTGATCAACAACCGGATGTTACTACTTGTGGAAAAGATGAAGACAACAGGAAGTAGTATTAGGATGAATCTGGACGAATTTCGGACGAATACCCAATTTTTCACCCTCACATTGAAGGAAATTATTAATGCTTTTCAGAAACAATTCAGGAATCACAGAGTCTCAAGACTTCAAACATGGTGTGAGAAGTGAAGTTGAGGCATAATACATTCATCTGAGGCAGAATGCTGAGGACGAAGTACACATTCGTTTACACCTGTGAATCATCACTTCCTGTTCAAAACATACCACATTGTCCTTGGGTGTTGTTGACAAAGTTCTCCATGGCAAGGTTGACCACGAGGGTGAAAGACGGAGAGAGGGAGACATAAGAGCGGATCTCAGGAAAGAAGATGTTCACCTCGTAATCTGTGGTTTCAAATCTCAAGCCATCCTTTTCATAGGGTGGTTGCACAGTCTCATTGTTCAGAGTCGCCTAAGGTAAATACATCAGTGTCAAAATAGTTTATCTGGCTTTATTTTTGTTGAAGCAGTATTTTGGTAAAACACAAAATTTGAAACACAAATGGAAGCAAATACCTGAACAGCAACAGGATGATGGTTGACACTGAGTTTAGCAGTATTGTTCTGATAGTTAACAATAACTCCCTTGACACAGGAGCCTTGGAGTCCCTGTACGCAGTCGAAGTTGTCCACCGCAATGGCCAGGTGGTAGCGTGGTGACTGCTCTTCCACCAGAATGTAGGTGCAGCTTTTCAGGAAATCAAAGGATAAGCCATTAAAAGAGATGTAGTGAGGGTCTCCGTAGAGCTCACAGCGACCTGGGAATGTCCCAAAAAGATGAGTTAGTTCATTTGTTATGTTCAAAAAACCCAAATCATTTGGAACAGAACAAGATTTTATCTATAAAGGGGAAAATAATAGTACTCTATGAATACTCACAGTCACAGCTAAATGATTCACAGCATCCATCGTTGATCTGTATCAACTTATTCCTTGGACATTTAGGAACAACAGGTTCCGGACAGACCACTGGGAGCAACTCTATTCTTCCATTTAAACACCTCTTAATAAAACAGTCCTCTGTCCAAGTGTCACCACAAGCCCAGCTTTTTTCCTGTTTCAGGTCTTTGCAGAGACAGGGTGTGGGTGACGGCTCTGTGGAGGATGAGGAGCAAAAACAACCCAAGGTTATTAATAGGACCAGTTGCTCGGGTCACTATGGTAATCCTGGGGACAAATACAAAGCACTTACGACTACTCGTAGGTGGTCCAGTTGTAATATTCACAGTTGTGGTTTCTTCTGTAGACACTGAAGTCAACGTACTGGAGGACGTTGCCGTTACTGGAGTAGGAATAGTTGTACTTGAAGACATTGGCGTCACCGGTGTAGAAGCACCAGTTCCCGGTGTTATACTTGGAGAAGTTGAAGTTGCTTCTGTAGAGGTGGCGCTAGTGAGCAATGTGTCAGTAGCAGTCAAGACACTGGTAGTTGTAATCAGTGTTACAGGAGTTGTGGAGGGTGCAGTTGTTTCAGTGGCAATTGATGATAATGTTGTTGTAGGAGCTGTTGACATCAAGGTAGTAGTTTAGTTGATGGTCTTGTTTTGACATAACACACACAGTGCCTTAAAAGTTCCCAATTGGATTTAGGTGTACACTTTGACTGGGTTCTATTGTAACACACAAATATGCTTTGACCTGAACCATTCCATTGTAGCTATTGCTGTATGTGCAGGACTGGCCTGTATGTACCTCTATCTCCCCTTCCTTCAACAGTCTATCAAGGAACGGTACACTAACGCAAAGCTGTGAAACATTAAAATGGTGAATATTTGTTAATACTCACAGCAAATGATAGTTCCACTTTCACAAGTACTGTGTGAAGAGTAACAATTTTGAGTCATTATTGAAAGATGATTTCTCAGCATTTGGTGTAGCAGATACTGCATGCCTAAAAGTTGAAACTTACCAGCCAACAAAGTTTATAATAACTTCACCCCCAGGTGGGACGATGGTTTCATTGAAATAGCAGGGACAATTTCTCAATTCAGTGCATTTACCAGTACTCTCATCAAAGTATGGAGTCTCCCTAGGGCATCTTGGATAACAGCCTTGTATAGGAACAAAAACATGTATTTTGATATTGTGGAGAGTAGCGGATAATGTAGGATAAAAATGACTGCTACAGAAAAAGACATTCAAGATTGCCTGTCACCTTCCAACTTGTGTTGAAAATAGTTGGTTTTGCCACAGGTCAGCATCCTTCCACAGGCTTCATAGTGCCACGTACACTGGCCTTGCTCGTTGTAGTAGTCACAGTAGGCAGCTAATGTAAAAGTAATTTTATGTAGTAGAACACATTGGATTAACACATGTTTTAAATCTATAAAGCATAGTTGAAATGCTAGGTTCTCGTGTAATTTAATGCAGATTAAAAATCAATCTCTTTGGATGGTAAAGTTGTTCACAGGTAAAAAGATTGGAACTTACGACACAAATCAGGCGTCCTCCAGTTTATGCAAACATTTTGATCGCTGCAGGCCTCTGCATAGGCGGCCACTGCCGTGCAGTAACCCAAGAACTTTCCTTCAAACTCACAGGAGCAAGACTCCTGTACACATGCGTGATAGTAGGGCTCTGGATCCACCTGAGGGTTATTGAACATCCAGGTCAATTTTAAAGCTGTCAGTGACGCATTTGGTGACTTGCAAAATAAAGTTACAACCTCCAGCTTCACTACTATTAGCGATTAGCTTAATATGTGCCAGGCAAACCTTTAAGTGACAGTCCTTGAATGTGTCTCCTTTAAGGATCATACAGCGCCGCTGGGCCCAGGCAGAACAGTAGGAGTTACGTTCACAAGGAAATATCTCCATGGTCACATCTGAGCAAGGAGGAGTGGTGGTCTTCCAGCTGTTGCCAAAAGCTAGCGGACTGGTCACCACTGCATTCCAAATCAGAACTCATTAAAACTCATTCCCAAAAAAATTGTAAAAACATTTTTCGAGGAAAGTGAGTCAAGGTTGAAAGGAATTACCGGCTGAGCCACTGATCTGTAGGTCATTCATCTCACTGGAGTCAAAATTGCCACAGAGACCACAGACTTTGTTCTAGAGGAGAGATTGTTTGAAATGACTGGGTTGCAACAGGCTTTTGACATGGCATGTTTAAACATGTAATGGTATAAGTGATTCAGTTCTGAGAATGACTGTGCTTTTACTGTAAGTCAACTTTGCCACACCAAGTCGTTTTTGAATACTTTACAGTATTGCGTTTTCCAGCCACAAAAGTGCCATTTTAACTGTTACCTTCAGTTGCTTTTTTATTATCATTTTTAACAACTGAAGATATATCAAATTTGACTTAGAAGAAATTTTACTTAAAAACTCCTGCTCTTTCTGAAACTCCTCCTCTTGAATTAACCCTTAGTGGGAATTTCAGTAACTATGGCTAATTTATTAGGGAAGCATCAATCGCAAGATATAGTTCAAGCACTCATTAAATATTTAAAAGACACAAAATTAGCTGTGAGGATTTAGTATGTGTGTGTGTGTGAGCGTATATGTATGTATGTAATCTAGTTTTTTTTAGGGTTGTAAAGATATAGGATAAATTGAATTTCTGGATTACACCTCCGTCCAGTTGATGGCGGTAATAACACCGCGTCTGTAAACTGCCAGTAAACGCCATAGAAGAAGAAGAAAAAGAAGATTTTTTAAAACGAAAAAGAAGAATTAACCCTTTAACAACATTTTTACCAGCGTTTCATTGAGAAGTAGTTTGCATAACGAGCTCAGCAAACGAGCAGGTGTTTGCTAATTGCTGCTAGCGAGTCTGAACATGAGTCTGACGAGTGGGGGAGTCGCCCTGTGAAGCGGAAGCTCGGAAACTGCAGGTCCGATGAGGAACTGCATCTGAAAGGCGGCGTTCCGTCCACCCAGGTGTTTTACACAGCTGAGTGGTTGCTACGGGAGATTAAAGGATTTCTCCAGGTATGTTTTTGATGACGGAATAATATTATAAAACGATGCAAAGCTAAAAAATAAGAAATGCAACCATAGATTTGTGTTCATGTTGACATTGAAGGTCCTATTTATAGCTACAAGAGAACCTTTTACATGATTCCTAGAGTTTTTCAAAAGTTAAAACAGGTGAACATAAATGTCTCACTTTCACAATTTCCCCATTCACTCACCCTCCAGTATGGATGGAGTTCTATGGTGATCCTTGTGTGTTTGTCCCAAATGAGAGTTAGCCCTTTGCTTGGCACTGAGACTATTATATAGAGTCCAACGGTGTGTATGGTGTAAAGGGGTTCTTGTTCCAGAGTCCAGCCACTTTGGAGTTGTCTGGTCACCTTCATGTCGCTCAGTGTCAGACTGACTTTGTTCTGAATGGGAAATGTATATAAATGCTTGTTAAAACACATTAATTTATATTAAGATATTCAACATGATTGGTTAAATAATAGGATATAAACACAGAGAATGGGTTTAGGTTTTAGGTTCATCACAGAAGAAGAACAACCCACCTCCACATCCAGAACGATGGTACGAGAACAGGTGAGTGCTTCATCGCAGCAGGGCACACTCTCTACTCTGACAGAGAAGGAACCATTTATGTTCCCACAGTAATCCTACCACAAAGTCAAAGAGATACTAAATGTTAAGCAAACATTAAAAATTCATCTTAAAATGCTCCGCCACAGTTTCGGGAACTCGCCTCCACGAGCCTGTACTGACAGTGTCCATCAAAGCGATACCATTTAGAATCAAAAGTCTGGTAATGTCCGTTTCCATAAACTTGGCACTTTCCTGAGCATGCCTTACTTTCGCAGCTCCACTGGCCCTGAACACAGGTGCTAAAACACAGAGGACATGATTGTTCCGGGATCTATGACACTGCTAGTGCAAATAAGACAAACCTAACTTGTGTGTAAATTTTCAGCAAGGTATAGGAACTTGATTTAAATTAATAATTCCTTAATATTGATAAAATGTCCTAGTTCCATTTGCAAGTTATTTCACTCATAACATGGGGAAATGTCTTGTTGTAAGTGAAATAATCTGCCAGTTGAACTGATACTTTTTCATCAACATTCAGGAATTATTTACTTTAAAATAAGCTCCTATATCTTGCTGAAAATTACTTGTAAGTTTTCACTCACAAGCGGATGTGTTACCATGTTTTACAGTCAGTTTTGACAAGCTCTCCCGCACCGAACACTTCTCCACTGTACACACAAGTGCAATTATTTCTGGGAACGCATCTCCCGTAGTGGTCCTCATAGAGATCCGGAGGGCAGTAACAGCCACTCTCACAGGTTGCATTGCCACCCTGGATGTGGTGTACAGGAAAAGAATAAGTCAAATTATTCCACAAAAAACTTTGCGAAACACTCAGTAAGGGTAAAGCTTACCAAAGGTTTACTGAGACTGCCGCAGGTTTTCTGAGCTGTGTTCTCTGCTGACTCGGAGCAGTGAACACAAACCTTCCCCTTACTGCAACCTAGGGATAAAAATGGGTCTTTATGTCAAATGCAAAAAAAATTACAAGAAAATGTTTGGTTTTTTTATTTAGACAAAAAGCACACAAGAGACCTACATATTACATACAGTCATTTGGGGCAATTTAATATATTTTTCCATTTTATTTAAGTAACTTTGACGGAGTATTAGGGCTATTGTAGACGGACATTTTTGCCAAATTCCTGAGTTCCAAAAGTAAAACTCAGAAACGAGATTATTCATATAATTTCTGAGTTTCAAAAGCCGAAAATGTGTGACTTTTAGAAATGTTCTCTGAGTTTCAAAAGTAGAAAATTATCGTCTTTGGAAATTTCCAAGTTTTTTTCTAGAAAATTTCTGAGATTAATCTCAAAATTTCTGAGTTTTTTTGTTGTTGTTGTTGTTGTTTTGACGCAAATTTACTCTTCTCTTTGTTTCTCTCTCTCTCTACAATGGCCTTGATACATTGTTATAAAAACAAGAGCTCTCCATTTCATTGGAATTAAGATATGAGAAATCATTTACCACAGTCCTTGGAGCAGTGCAGTTTTCCATCTTCACAAAGACTTCAAGAGAAATCATATTTGATTAGATATAGATCAATCTATTTCATATTACCACAAACACTGGAAGCACTCAGCTGCAAAGAAATCCTGTGTGCATGAACAGAGCTAAAATGTTAACTTAGATTCACAAGTTATCCCTATTTTCAGTAGCAACCAGGGGGCGCCAATTTCTTGTTGCCTGGTCTTGTATAATAGCAACAGGAAACTTGTTCAAGACAAACTGACAGGTAAGTTATGTATTTTTATGTTGTGTTTGCATAACTTCCCCCCAGCTCTGACCCTCCCTACCCGTTCCTAATGCCAACCTGTCTAAATCCATCAGTTCCCCTCTCCCTCTCTGCTTTTTTACAGCACCAGTATGTTGGCACTGTCATGGTGTTGCTAATGATGGGAAAAACTGTATCAAAGTTTTCGGTATTTTCATGGACTCACCACTGTTGTCCATCAATGATTACTGGTCCTGGGGGTGTCATGACACCACTGTGGGAACACATGCATTGCCCCTTTGGGATGCAGGCATATTCCTGGTTCAGATAGGTTCCTTCTGGACAGCCACAGCCCTCCGTCGGAGAATTGTCCAGCTCACAGCGGGGATCGTGGCCGGACAGGGAAAGGCATGTGCTGTTACAGGCCTGGACGCTGTAGGAGAACTCCTGGTTCTTGAGGCAATTCAGAGCTTCAACACAGAATTGTTGCTGGAGTTAAACCGAAATTCTTAATATCCTGCATAAATTTGGCATAAACATTTGCTGGTGTGGGATGTAAAGGGTGACAAAATGAAGACGTATGTTATTATCTTGCATCCAATGTGTTTTTTAAAGGCGTTACTCACTGCAGTTGGTGGCTCTCCTCCAGTCCCCGAGCTCGGCACCCAGAACGGCACAGGCTTTAGCGTAACTTCCCAAAGAAGCACACAAACACCGCTGCAGATTGTTGCCACAGTTACATGTTCTCTGGATGCAAGCCTGGAAGCAGTAATAGGTTATATAAACACACAGTCATTGTTAATTCGTCACCCTCAGCTGACATATTAACTCACTGGGAACGTCTTAAAGAATCTGTTGTTTCATAAAAACAGTCTTACCGTGTGGTGTTGATCGGTCGGGATGTAAGAGTGGCACCTGGCAAATATCCCATCTGGGTCATTCAGTACAGAGCACTTTTCATCTGCAAATATTTCTGCAAGCACAATGAAACAATATGAAGAGACATGTTGGCAAATTATTTGGTTTGTTCCTCTTGAGGTACAACATGTAATATATAATCTATGTCAGATTTGTTTAACTTATTGACTTCTTTTCCACGTTTTTCCTGGCGTTGTCAAAATTGGAGTTAAGGTAGTTACTTTGACAGTCTTAACTAGCAATGACTGTTTTTCATGTTACCAGTGTGCATTTTAGCAAAGGACAAACATGTCCTTGCAGAGCTAAGCTTGGCTCTTCATCAAGCGTGTTAAAGATGAACCCAGAGTGAAATGGGAATCCTTTTTGCAGTCACTTTCTCTCTGTTATAAACACCAGGGATTCTTCAGCTGGCTTTGCTAATTTCACATCAAAAAGTAGCTTTCAAGTTTATGTCAGCAGTTGTTACCGTTGTCGGTGTTGATGCAAGGGTTGGGGATGTTCTCTCGACAATCTCCCAAACTCCAGGACAGAGCGAAAAGCTTGGCAGAGCTCTCGATGATCCCGCTACTGGTGTTGAAGTCGTCTGTGGTGTCATTGTTTCTGTTGCCGCAAAGACCTGAAAGAATGTCAAAAACACATTAACATGCCTCAGCGGTTTTTTTTTATTTTTATTCTTTTTATTAATGCATTGTAAACGTTAGCTGGTAAGAGAACTGAGTGTGTTTGACCCCAACCTGAGATCAGACCAGAATGCAGCGTTGGTGGCATGATGTACAGCTGGATTTCAGGGAACACCTGGACTTGGAGCTTCAGACCAAATGGCGTACGAACTTCAACATACATCGAGGACTTCCAGAAAATGAGGAGTTGATCTGGGAGGTGACACAGATTAGCAGGTAATGTTATCGCTGGATAACGTGATTGTATTGGATGACCAGGTCCATTTGCATTTGTCTTACCAGACTGGTAGAGTTCAGTAATCTCTTGTTCTCCTACTTTTACCTTGCTTAGAGTGAATGTATAACTGTCCTAAAGATTGAAAGACAACATGTATATCCAAGGATTCTTTAAAATTGAACATTGACTTTTACTTAAGCATCTTTCCAAAGAGTTGCTTCCTAGTGTCCATACCTGGAAAACCTGTACATGTACAGCTTTCAAAGATGCTTCTGTTGAAGAAAACTCAACTCTAATTGACCAGTTAGGGCCCTGCAGGAGAGTCAGAGGTTTATGGTATTAGTTTAATCAGCCAACAACACTGAGAAATGAGGAGAGTCAGGAATCAACCTTACCTGTGATGCCATGTATGTGCATTTACCAGGAAGCGCAAATCGCTTGCCGTCATACGTTGTCACAAACTGTCCTTCAATGAGACATCTGGCTGGGCAGGAGTTTCCAGAGCACTGCCACCTCCCACTATTGCACTGACTGAGTTTGGAAGCGGAAAATTTAATACAAATATATATATAGGCTACATATATATTTATGCCTTAGTCATGCTTCAAAATCACTCATGACTTGAGCACAAGAAACGGGAGTTTCCGTTAAATGGAGTTAGTTTATTTTCCGTGTTTTTAGTTATTTTGACCATTCGAAGCACTTTACACCAGAACTATGTGTTTGTGACATAGATTGACATGAACATCAATAGAGTACTTAGTGCTTTGCCCAGGGGTACATCAACATGAGACAGGAGGATGCTGGAATTGATCCTCCGACCTTCTAATTGCAAGAGCCGTCTCATCAAGTACGTAATCAATTTTAGAAATGTCTTCAAAATGTATTCCCAGTGTCACCTGATCTACCTAATTTGTGTACATTGGGTTGTACAAACATCTTTTGTTCATTTGATTTCAAAAGCAGAAGTATTTTAACTAACTAATAGCATTTTGCTTAAATATACAAAAAAATTCTAATTGTTAAGGATGTGAACCTTTAGAAAGGCAGTTTCAGTTTTAGATTAACAACATATACCCTCAAAATAGCATATTACAATTATAATAGTAATATTCTCTCTCACCCTAATACTTGACATTTACAACTAGTTTGGACTGAGACTAGAAACTTTCTAAATTCAGAGGATTTTGCTACGAGTCAGTGACAATGCTTCATAGTGTCCAGATTGTCTGCCCACTCACCATGTTTGACACTTGGTGGTGCGAATGTATCCAGGAGAGTAGATCCTATCATTGAACACACAGGGACAACTGGAGAGACTCACACACTGGTATTCGCTGAAGTTATCGTCCAGAAACTCACCTATAATTACATTTTGTGGGGGAAAAAAACCCCTTTGAAAATCCAGACAACAAAACAGCAACTAAAAGACAAAACGTGGATGATAGTGTGTTGCACGCTCAAAATGGCGGTTCTGACCTGCGGGACAGACACAGGAACTGGTGGTCTCCAGGTTGGACAATCTGAGGTCTGGGTTTGAGCAGCTTGGCACGAAGGGAGAACCCTCTTCAACGTAAACCAGTTCTCCAGGACACGTTGGTGGAGCTGCACTCATCCACCAAAGCAGACAGAAGCATCACAAGATAATCATCCTTGACTATTTGGGTCAAATCCGGTGCATTGACGTTGTCATCACCTACCACAGTTGGTGATTGTTCTCCACAAGTCCCAAAGGCGACTGCTTCTTCCACACATAAGGGCAATCTCCTTGAAGAATGCGCATCTGACCTCGTTGTTGCCTTCGTAGTTGTAAATGTTTTGATCGCAGAGGGTGATGTACTTCGCGGTTGTGAACATCAGACATTCTAGTGCGTGTGAGAAGAACTCGCTGCAAAGCTGCAAATGTGATCAGAGAAACAGAATCAGCCTTATAGGTTACTCCATGGGTTTGTAAGGTCATAAATAGAAAAGAGTAATATATTGGCCGTCATACCAGGTTGAAAGGAGGAAGGAGATCCTGAAGGTAACAGGTGACGTCAGAAATCAAATACTCTTCCACTAGCTGCTCAACGTTGTCCACTTAAATGAAATGGTACATTGTTAGGACAATGAGTAAACCTCAAAATCTAAAAGAATTGATTTATTGGGTTGATGTTAACAGTATCTGGTAGCAGATGTATAGATTTGATGCACCTGAAAAACATGTTAGTAAGTATGTACTTACTAACTTACTAACTTACTTAAGCAATGTTAGAACAAATGGTACAACATCCATTGTGATACCATACCTATGTTTTGAATCGCGCAGAGTCCAGTCAGGTCAGAACTCAGTTCTTGGTCTAGCTCGACCTTCAAAATAAATCATAAAGACCCTTTAGAGGTTGTGTTTGAGAACATCTGAATGTTACGGATAATTGTTATGTATATGAACTTTGACCCAACAAAATTTGAGTAAATGTGATGTAGCATATCAAGCCTCATCATCAAGCTCATAATTTGGTCACTTAAAACACAACACCAAGCCACCTTTCGGTCACTGAGATGACAACATGATGACTCTAAAAGAAAACAACCAAATTATTGCAATGGTCCAGTCAAAGCACAGCCTTTAAATCAACTCAAATTATGTGGCGGGGGGGGGGGGCTTAAGAGAGATGTCCTTTTCCAACATTGTAAAGTAAAGTGGTCCCAAATTCCCTCAACATCAGAGACTGATAAGATCCAACAGATGACTGTTTCATGTTATTGCTGCTAAGGAGAGTTCCTAAGCAACTGAAGCAACTGCTTCAGCATTTAAACTTAGTTTGTGTGAAATAAGTTATGACTGAATGAGCAGATGCTACGAGCGACCAGCTGAGGACAGCACAGTGTACTGCCTTGTTGCTGAAACGTGCTACACAAATCAACTTGACCTGACTTGTGTTTGTGTGTCCATGAGTTCAGAAGTGCTCTCACCCAAACACTGACGAGTCCTCCTCCAGCTGCAGTCTGCCAGGTGACAGACAGGGGGAGTAATGAGCTCCTCAGCCTGGTGTAGATGCCGTACTGAAATATGTGCTGGTAAGTGTGGTCATACGGAAGGGAAATGCTGTCGACAGAATAAACCATAAACATCAGAGTAAAAAAAAAAGACTATTAATGTATTCTGGTCAAACATTACACAAATGTGACCTTTGGAGAGCATAATGGCCACAACTCAAACTCAGAGACTAATAAATGATAATGACCAGTCAGAGCTAATAATCTACTACTTCATATGTCTTAGGAGTTCCTGGTGCAGACTTGTCCACCCATGGCTAAACTTTCCAAAAGGCCATAGGATTTCCCCTGCATTGCTTCCTTGTTGGCCTTGTCCTTCAGCTCCAGATAATTGATTGGTAATTTCATTGGGTCATTCTTAGGTCAAGTATCTCTAGAGTCACTGATCCACTCACTCATTCTGTGGGTCAACTGGGTCATCAGAGCCATATTATCCCATGTGACTCTGTCCACTTTTCAAGATGAGAGATGAGGGTTAGGGTTTGTGTCTAAACTTGGGTGATTTAGTGTTACTACGGTCAACAAATCCATCCATTGACCCACTCAAGTAGTCATTAGGTAGAAAGTAGGACAGGTCAGGTAAAATTCATATTCTGCTTTTTTTATTACTGCTGTCAGTGAGACCACTATTGGTAAATATAAAGAAAAAGACTAAAAATAAAACTATCCCTTATATTAGTAGCATTTTGTAACACACAAAAAACTGTAAAACATTAACCTAAAAGTCACATGTGAAGCAATAATTCTTAAAAAAAAGAACAATAAAAAAACACTGAAGATAATATAAATATAACTTTATTTTCTTAAATAATCTTCCTTTAAATATTTAATACCAAATACAGGAGAGAACTGATTTTTTTTATATTTTTTTTGTAATAACTGAACTGTTACAAACTGTATCGTTTTCTCTTTTTCTCTATAGCAAATGTATACTGATATATTAATAGTTCGTTAATTTTAGTTAATAGTAGTAGTTTTGGTGACTTAAGACAGTAAAAAATAAAAAAGTTTGATTTCAGTTGCATTTGACAACATATTTACTGGAGACAGAGGGTTTCTAAGGCCTGTTAAACGGAAAAAGCTTTCAGACATACTTCAATCAAAGATTATACATCTTGCATTACAGATTTAATTAGCAACAGGACAATCTTTAGCTGCCATATCACTAAAATGTCCACCATTGATGAATTGCTACCAACCTTGGCTGTTTAAAACGAAAAAATATTGGCCCGGATAAGTGTAATACACAATTTATTGATAAAGCAAAAAATCTGTGTAGGACATGTGGTCAGACCTTTTCTTCTCCACCAGGATGGTTCCGTTCTGCACAACAGTCTTGACCTTGTTGATGATGATCTCGAGGAGGTTCAGCAAGCCGTTTTGGCCTCGCCGTATGGTGATGTCGCACTCCACCCGGTTGTGGGTGAAGCGGGCGAAGGTGAACGGACAGTTGGAGCGCACGTAGAAAGGCGAACCTCTGAAAGCCTTGATGACCCCACTGCCGAATGTCTTGCAAGTATCTAAACAACAGGGTTGTCAGCGGTTACGACATAAAACAGTGTACATATTCAATCACCTGTGGCATTGTAATTCAAGAAAAGCAATAAAACAGTGATAGATATTTTTCGCTTTCACAATGATACTTACATTTCAGTGACTCAGTTGTTCCCAGAGATTCACCTGCTCTAAAAACTACAAGAGAAATAAAGAAAGGAGGTAACAGTAAATAATAATTATACGTGATTAATAACAATAATAATGACGGAAAGTCATTTAGGATTAATCGATCTGATATTGACTCAGTACTATGCTGAATATGAATCAGTACAGTACTAGTTTGTACAATATGATATTTTCTCATACTTCTAGAATAGAAATGGGTTATTAGTTTAACATTTACCAAAATGGTGGAAACAAAAAATCTAGAGAATGTTTTGAGATATTTTAAAGAAAACATTAATAATAAAATTTAAATAATAAAATGAACTTACTTCATACAATTGTGGGGAAAAAAGTTTCTGAAAGTTAAATGGACTAATAATAATAATAATAAAAACGGAACAAAAATGGGCACTTTTACCTGAAGCTGAGAAGAAGCAGAGAGCCAGCAGCCATCTCTTTGAGTCCATGATGCCTGATGCTTCCTCTCTGCAGGGGAGTGCAGAACACCTGGAGGACCTGCTCATGCAGCTTATATGTCGTCTCTGCCTGCACCACCTCCTACATCAACGCCCGTCACATGAACGTGTGCATCACCCAAAGTTTAACTTTGTGTCATAAAGTAGCCAGGAAACTGACGGCAGTGACAGAAACGATTGTACATGCTGAAACGCTGGTTTAATATTAAAGTACATGCTTGTTACATTTTTTTTGTTAATACTTTGTTGGAGGACAGGAGAGTTTAGCAACCTAACAGGAAAAACTTTGAAACTTTCTTCTTCATTCTTTCTGTGAACATATGAATTTAAATCAACTGCTATTGTCAAATAAAATCATTTTATCTGTTTTTTTTTTTTGAGAATACTGATGGAGGGTGAACTTTAGAGAAATTCCCAACTTTATCTACACTAGGTAACATATTAAGTCTTGTATCATGAAGGAAGAAGGATCTTAACTTTTAGCAAACACCGGCCCTTTTGTTAACCCTGCAGATTAACAAAAAGACAAAGAGAAAAGGGGATATGATGGGGCTTGTCCAAGGCACCTGAACCAGGACGGAGTTAATTATTTTTCAATGGCATCGGGGTGTGAAAGCAAAACGTGGTGAAAAGGCATGTTATCATGAAGCCTGGGAAGAGTTTATGGTAACTGAAAACCAACATGTAGAAAGACAAAAGGTGTGCAACATTAAAGCAAAAAAGAAAAAAAAATCTGATATTTAATGATTTGGTTAAATACTGTTGGTTCAGCTTTGTCTTAGTATTTATTATATGCAGAATGAAGGTTTGACAGGTGCATGGATGCACCAGACCCATACAAAGGTGTTCACACCCTATTGAATTTTTTCACATTTCTTTACATCAAAACCTCAAACTAAAATGAATTTTATTGAAAATTGTTGTGATAGACCAACATAAAGCAGAGTAAAGTTGTGAAATGGAAGGAAAATGACTGATGCATTTCAAAGTTCTTTAAGGATAAAAATCTGGAACGTCTTAGCCTCCCAGAGGCAAGACTTTGCTTTGAACCATTCTTCACTGCAATTACAGCTACAAGTCTCTTAATAAAGTATTACTTTATTTTTAGTAATAAAGTGATATTACTTTATTACTCAGAAAGTAATAAACTTTATGTTCAGGTGAGATACCAGGCCACTCAGACTAGTGATGAGCTTTATTACATTTTAAATTGATAGTCTTATATCATGGAAATGTGTTTAATTATTGCCTAATTATTTGTTTTGTTCGCTCCTGAAAGTTTCAGCTTTCCCGAAACTTTAATGTGTGATACTTATCCAGTCCGGTAGGGGGCAGCAGTTTTCTGAATTTTACCAAGAAAGCAGAATGAAACCTGTTTGCCTCGAGTCACAGCAGCTTTGCTTGTTGTCCTCATAATGAATTAAAGTCATTACTGTCAAAGGGAAATGGGGGTAAAAATAAAATTAAATTAAATCAAAACAGCAGAAAGGTTCAATATAATCACTTTATGTTATTTTATTAATGTAATGATCTTTAATAACGCTTGTAATTCAGCGGCTATTTTCAGCATGTCATATTATTGATCGAGCTGGAAAGCATCAGTCTTCATCGTGACCCTCCCCCCCGCCCCCCGTCGCCACACCACGTTTCCAAAACAATACTTCCTTACGTCATGCCTACGCCGCTGGTGACGAACTAGTCCACTACACTCCTCCTATCCTATCCTGCCTCACCTTTCCTCATCACTCCGCTCCAACTCTCCCATCAGGACCACGGAGATGTTCCGCGGTGTCGAAAACAACACAAAGGACGAACTTTACTCGTTTCGCACTTTCGAGTGCTTTTAAATATCCACTTCGGTTGAACTTTAGGGAGAAGGGAGGTGGGAGTTTTTGTCTGTTGAGTGTGCTTTTCTTTTTTTTGTTTCTGTGTGAGTGTGTGTGGTCCCTTTCTCTGTAGGAAAAACATCACAGATATAAGTCAGCTCTATCCCCGCTGTGTGTTGCGCTTCCATATGTCGCGAAAGCGGGTCGACCATGACTACACCCTGCGGAGCATGAGCAACCTGATGGGCGAGCGCTGGAAGAAAGTCAACGACGGAGGCGAGCGCAGCCTCATCAAAGCTCCGTCCAGCGGCAGCATCAGCAGCCAGGGCGCCGCCGCATCCTCCTCCTCCTCCACCACCGCGGGCGCATCAGCCCCTTCCTCCGCCGCCGCCGCCTCTTCCTCCACCACCAACACCGGGGACTTGGAGCGGGCTGCCCGCAAGCAGTTCCAGCAAGATGTCACTCCAGCCTTCGTCTACGTCCTGGCCGTGTTCTCCGCTCTGGGGGGCTTTCTGTTCGGATATGACACCGGGGTGATCTCCGGCGCGATGCTCCTGCTCAAGAGGGAGCTGGACCTGAGCGCCATGTGGCAGGAGCTGCTTATCTCGAGCACCGTGGCCGCGGCAGCCCTGTCCGCCCTGCTGGGCGGCTTCCTGAATGGGCTCTTCGGGCGCAGGGTGTGCATCCTGCTGGCCAGCTTCTTCTTCACAGTGGGGGGGATCGTGCTAAGCTCCGCTCCCGGGAAAGAGGCGCTCCTGGCGGGGAGGCTGATCGTCGGAGTGGGCTTAGGTAAGATGCGAGAAACATGGAGAGTTTAGATGGAAATTACCACAAGAAGCGCAACTTTAAAGACTCCCGAAGTTGTTACACTTTAATGTTTTGGGGGGTTTTTACCACATGTCTTAATATACTGATTATTAGTTTACAATATCTTGCAAAAGAGGCGTATTGGTGCGTTTGTCCACAATAAAACCACAAAGTTTACTGTATTTTATTGGAACTTCATCTTAAAACTTAAATCTTCTCCTGTCAGTTGAAATCCAAACATAGTTATTTGACCTATTTGACCAATTGTCGCCATGGTGGTGGCAGCATCATACTGCGGGGATGGTTTGCCTTGAGCAAGTTGTTAGAATTGTTGGGAAGATGGATGGAACAGGACAATCTGAGATCTGCACTACCTTAATTAGATATTAGATGCATTTTTGGATTGAACTGAAGCAAATTATAACTAAATACAGCTGTTCACTTTTTGTTTTTGTCAAAAAAAAAAAAAACATCAGGTTTAAAGGTGTAATAATGCAGCATTAGTGACATCTAGTGGTTTAAAGTGCAGATTGCATATAAGCCAAAAACGCAGGTTTGCGCATCAACTTAAAGGTGCAATAAGATCGATTTGGTGCCATCATGTGGTATGAATTGCACATCGTACATAAGCGAAAATTCCACACTGATACGTTTTTCCAGATGTTTGGTTCGACCCTATTGTTCAGTTATTCTTAACTCATTTACATGTTTTGTAAAACATCAGGTTTTCAAATCAACATGAAGGCTCAGAGTTTTTAGTTTAGGTTTATTTTGTTAGTTTCACATGAGAACAGTTTGCACACTTTTACCTTACTCTTCCAGGAGTTACAGAGTCTGATGTGATCCAAAATTGCATAATTAGATATGTTAGTTGCAGTTCCAGGTCTTAGTTTCAACATTTTTAAACTGTAGTAACAGTTTTGCAATATGGCTGGTGGGACAGGAGATTAGTCGGATGCCTCCAGTTCTTCTAAGGAAATTAAATACCATTTTGTGTGTAATTACATACTATTGGAACTCTGTACCTGGTTCATGCCAAAAAAAAATGCCTCAAATGTTACACAATAGAACATTTACAGCCCCTCTGTTACATTTTTCTCTTTAGTACCATCACCATTGTGATAATTATTCCTTCTTATTTGGTGACATAATTTTAACTAATAAACGTGATGTCTGATGTTCTAGTCTAGGTTGTCTTTGATTTCTCTCATTATTAAAATCCTGATTCTGGGCAGGAAAAAAGTCCAGTTGATGGCGGGAAACAGCTGCCACTTTGCCACACCAAAATAAATAGACTGTGCAAGCATCAAATTAGAAAGATTGCTCTCATGAAGTAATTATTCAACATTTTCAAAATTGATTCTCTCTTCTTCCCCCGTAACCTCCTGAATACTAAGATCAGGGCAGACTCCATTAAGAGTCCTCTCCAAAGTTTCCTCCATTTACAGCTCTTAAATGAATTAGTTGAGCCTGACAGGCGGCAGTAAGTTCTGGCTGACCTGGCCAGGTTGGCATCATAACGAACCGTATCCGAGAGAAAAACGGCGTTTTGTGAGTGAACTGTCACGAGCTCAGCTGTATGCAGAGTTACAGCTCTGTTCTGGTGGTGTTCAGTCAGCCGTACCATTAGGCACAAATTAGAGACTTCTCCTTTTTCTCCCTGGTCTGCTGCCATAGATGTTTTTACACTTACCGGTGATAAATAAATCAGGTTTATTTGATTAGTGGTTGATTCGAAAACAAACAGTAATAGTAAGCATAGTTTTTACACACTTTATTGACGTCTACGCAAAGACAAATAGTAATAATCTAAGAAAAAAAAAAAACAGAT